CCTACCTTCATTCATGCCTCAATGCCACAGAAGGGAAAGAGAGATTGCAGCTCATACAAGTAAAAATTTGAATGGCCAAATCTTGTAGTCGTACACTTAACTATGGCCTCAATATATCAGCTATAACTCAGTTACATGGTTTCCAATAATCTGCAAGTTTTAGAAATGAAAATTATCATGAGTTCTGTTAATTTTCTCATTTCCTTCCTGAACACAGTTATTGTCTGAGTTTCTATCAGTTTTCAAATATTATTTCAGCAGTGTTTTGGGCTTCATGAAATAATTATTTAAAATGTTAACACCATATACCAATTGGTTTTCTTTTTCTTTTTCATCATTCCCAGGATGTGGGCACTGAGCAACATTCTGAGCCCTTTATAAAAATTTTTATTTTGAGACAGAGTTTTGCCAAGTTTCCCAGGCTGAGCTGAAACTTGGAATTCTCCTTCCTTCAACTCCCAGAGTGGAGGGATTACAGATGTACTACACGCCATGTAGCAATTTTTTTTAAAAAAACTCCTGTATAGAGATAATCATGCTCTTGTAGGAGACCTAGTGTTTACAGGTCATTAGAGCAATATTACAGATCTCATAACTTGTTTCAACATCAATATCTCTTTCTTGCCCTGTTCAGACATTTTTCACCATTTAAAGTCACATAAGAGCCTCCTTGCTTTATCATTCACCACTCTCAAAAACCAGGTATTTGCCTTAGATCATCCTTTAAAAGATCTCAGCTAGGGCTGTCCCACAGGAATCTTGGAAAGATTATAGAGCCCCTTAATTTGGCTTCAAGCCTTCTTTAGTCTGTTCTGATACTCACTAGCCTTACTCCACACCCTCTGTTTATAAAATGAAATTCCTTTAGAATTGCACTCTAAATTGAAAATATCCCTTGAAGGCCTATCTTAAAATCTTGGTTGCCATCCTGAGGCACAATTGGAAGTCATGGAACCTTTAACACATGGGGCCTAGTGAGGGGAAGTTAGGTCAGTGGGGGAAACCATGTCATAGAGATATTGGGACTCACTCTCTCTCTCTCTCTCTCTCTCTCTCTCTCTCTCTCTCTCTCTCTCTCT